TTCTGACAGTTGGAAACCCCGCCGGGGTGGGATTATTGGAAGGTTCTAGAAGTTAATGCCACAGCAGTAAATATTCAGACAAAATCTATATGTTCATAGCATCTAATGAGAACATCTGCAAGTAGGAGAGGGGTACCTTTGGGGCTCTTTAGTATGTTTGTTGTGATTCAGAGAAGTCTGGGAATTCCGAAGTCTTTCTGGCTAGCCTCTGATCAGCATTTGTTGTTGTTAAATACCACCAAGTTGTTTCTGACTCATAGTGACCTTGTCCACGGTTTCCAAGGAGTGGTTGCTGGGTTTGAATCACCGACCTTGTAGTTCAAACTCACTTTGTGGTCCAGTGCATTATCCTGCAGCACCACACCAGGACTTCTACAAACCTTTAAGCATTAAACCAGACTTAGCCTGTGGATTCCTGATATGGTGATGTAGATGAGCACTGCTAACCACAAGGTCGGAAGTTCAAACTCACCAGCCGCTCCTCAGAAACCCTATACAGGAGTCGGAACCCACTTGACGGAAATTAACAACAACAGCCTGTAGGAAATGCTGATGGTGCTGTAGGATGAACAATAGACTGCTAACCACAAGGCTGGTAGTTCAAATCCATCCATCAACTCCACAGGAGAAAGATAAAGCTTTCTACTCCCATAAAGGTAAGGTATACATACAGCCGCAGAAATCTCATACAAGGGTCACTGTGAGTTAGAACCTATTCAATAGCAACTACTAACAATGAAGCCTGTGGGAAGGAGTCCTAGTGGCACAACTGTTACACATTTGACTGCTAACACAAAGGTTGGTGATTCAAGACCAGCAGACTCAATAGCACACTGCAGTCTAGGGGGACAGTCATCAATTAAAAACACAAAACAAAACAAAAACCATGCCCACTGCCGCTGTCTGTTCTGACTCATAGTTCCCCTCTCGGGCAGAATAGAACTGCTCCTTAGGGTTTCTGAGACTATAAATCTTTATGGGTACAGACAGTCCTCCTCATCGTCCTCCTAAAAAGCAGCTGCTAGGTTTGAACTCTCAACTTTGTGGTTAGCAGTCCAATGCTTAACCCATAGTGCCATAAAGTCACTAATGAGAGAAAATCAATTGATCTGCCTACATGACCTCCAGCTCTTTCGCTACTTAAATGCATCCCACCCAGTGAGTTTGCTTCATCTTTGTTGTTAAGTATAGCAACCCTGATAAGGTTTCCGAGGAGCAGCTGGTGAGCTTGAACCATCAACCTTGTGGATCAAAACAACTTTGTAGTCCAGTGCATTAAACCACAGCACCACACCAGGTCTCCTTGCTTTATCTTTAATAATGCTTAAATCATTATGTTCTCCTTCTTTGAAATTTTCTGAGATTACTAATTATCCAATTGTTGTCGTTGTTAGGTACCAACTCATAGTGACCCTATACACAACAGAATGAAACAATGCCCGATCCTGGGCCAACCTCACTACTATTGCCACGCTTGAGTCCATCAGTGCTGCCACTTGGCCAATCCATCTCATTGGGGGTCTTCCTCTTTTTCTCTGACCCTCCACCTTACCAAGCATGATATCCTTCTCCTGCAACTGGTCCCTGCTGACAATATGTCTGAAGTATGAGTGATGAAGTTTGGCCATCTTGGCCTCTAAGGAGCACTCTGGCAGCACTTCTTCCAAAACAGATCTATTGGTTCCTTTGGCAGCCCGTGGCACTTTCAATATTCTCCAACACCATAACTCAAAAGCATCAATTCTTCTACGGTCTTCCTTATTCACTGTCCAGCTTTCACATGCATATGAGGTTATTCAAAATACCATGGCTTGGGTCATGCACACCTTAGTCCTCAAGCTGACATATTTTCTGTTTAACACTTTAAATAAAAATGTCTTGTGCAGCAGATTTGCCCAATGCACTACGTCATATGATTTTTGA